CCCGCACCGACCCGCTCCCCACCCCCACCCCCCGGGGTCCCCTGCTCCAGCTGTCCGCAGCCGTCTCCCGCGCCCTGCGGCCCCCAGAGCACCGCCGCCATGGGCATCCGTGGCATGCTGCGAGCCGCCGTGCTCCTACTGCTCATCAGGACCTGGCTCGCGGAGAGCAACGACCCCAGTCCCATCCCGAAATTCCACTTCGAGTTCTCCTCCGATGTGCCCGACGTCGTCCTGAACCTCTTCAATTGGTAAGGGGGCGCCGCCAGGCTGGGCACGGTGGGGACGGGGACAAGCAGATGGCCTCTGGCCTCTTGGACAGAGTGGGTTGGAGGGGGTCTCAGACCTGGGCTCGCTGAGCCCTGGCGCGGGCCCTGCCTGCTGGCCCCTGGAGGGGGGTGGGATAGGAGTGGAGGCAGCCAGTTGGGATGGAGCCCTGTGCTTAAGCCCACCTGTTACTGCGGCGCATGGCTGCCCCCCGTGCGCCCAAACCGCACCTGGGGGTGGGGGAAGGGGAGGGTGCCCTAACCCCAGGGTCTGCCCATCCATCCCCAAGGACTAAGGACCCCAGGCAGTTTTCCCCGGTCACGTCCTTTGATACCTGTGGGGTGGGGGGAGGGGGATACAGGGGGATGGGCAAGTCACAAAACCGACAGGAAAGACACCTGTTTGAGTCTGGATTGGAGTCCATTCCCTGAGGCTCGAAAATGTGAGTGCGTGCATGTGTATGTTGAGAGGTGATGGACTCTTTCCAGTGCAGTAGATAGAAATTATTAACTCAACCTGATCGGAGCCCAGACAGTGTGATGGCTGGCTGGATAATCGTATAACCGTGTGCCCTGAGATGGGTGTGCTTTTGTACTCACTCCTGTGAAAACATTTGACGATTCAGGTTTTTTTCCGTGTTTGATTTCAAGTTTGTTTGGGTCTGCAAATATCTGACGAGATGTTGAACAGTCAGCCTTTGCATGTAGATCACACAGAAGCACGTATTTGTGGTGACCACAGATCCTAAGCTCTGGCACATGGGTAATGTGTGATTGGAAACAGGCGGGAATGCATTGCTTTAATTCGGGAGTAATTTATGTGCACACTTTGGAATGTTGCAAAATGAAATTTTATGCTTAAAGATCATCAGGAATAATTTTTAATAATTTTTAAATAGCAAGCTAGAAATGAACATGTATTCAGAAAAAAAGGGGGGGATAGTTGGGCAAGGTTCCAGCAGACAGCCCTGCAGTGCCCTCAACCCAGCATACCAGACTGCGTCAGTGAACACACGCGCATGCACACACACACACACACACACAGATTTGCAGGGGTTGACGTTCCCTGGGCAATGCGTCAAAGATTCGAAGAGTCACAGTGATGCCCAGGCCAGGGCCTGTTTGCATTCACAAGTCCTTTCAGGGGAAAGACCCCTGCTGAAGACCTAGGTGAACTGGGTGAGCATATCAGAGACGTCTGAAAAGGCCAGCTCTCTGCAGAGATGTGCTGGGTCCACTTACATGTGCTCACCCAAGACACCTCCAGGCTGGAAGCACATGCTTAGTGAGAGAGATGCCTGCTCCCAGAGTGGATGTCTTTTCGAGGACAGCTCTGAACCCCAAGAATCTGAAATGGTTTGGTTAGATGAGGGTCATAAATCTGCTAGATGAGCAAGGCTCTTTCTCTGCGTCATATGCCGTATGCCAAGTCTTAAAACCAGAGACGTCCAAAAAAAATGTTGACAAGCTGACAACAAAATGCCCAGCCCTCGCCCAGGTAAAGGAAATATGACTTTGAGCTGGTGAACGTTGGCTTAGCTGAGTAGGGCATCGAGAGAGGAAGATGACTTTTCCTGGGGCAATCAGGTACCCTGAAAGGAAGAACCCCCAGCAACCTGGAAAGCACCGTTTGGGCTGATGGCAAGGGGCAAGGTGGGGCTTCTAATGCAGTTGAAGTAATGCTTTTTTCTGAGGGCTCCCACCTTCCCACTCTCTCCTCTCTCCCCTGCTACCACCTCCCCTCTCCTTCCCCCCCCCCCGTTCTGCCTGGTAACAAGGATCAAGTTTTTGTGCCCCACCCTCTGGATAAAATCTGGGAAGGGGGAGGGGGGAAGAGAAATCTGCGTCACTGCTGCGCTTCTGGCTGACTCACCATGGAAAGGGAGGGGAGCAGGGAGAGAGTGTGTACACGTATGACTGGACATGTCTGTGTATGTGCAGGAGGAGGGAAGGCCCTGACAAGCCGGCCATTGACAAGCCGGCCACAAGTCAACCAGCATTTACTGATGACTTCTCTGTTTCAGCAAAAATTGCGCAAATGAAGTTGTGGTTCAAAAGATTTTGGACAGGGTGCTGTCAAGATATGATGTCCGTCTGAGACCAAATTTTGGAGGTAAGCCACATCCAGACACTAGAAGCCTTTGCCTTAGGTGGACTGTAAGCTGACCAATGGCACTCCCTCAGGCTCTACACCTCTGCCTCTCTAGATCTCCCCTTTCTGACGCTGCAGAGACTTGCAAGGTAGCACTCCCAGGCCACCAAACGCAGGCCTTTTGTGCTGCCTCTGAAAGTTCTCCCACTCTTCCATCTTCATATGCACGAGCTCTTCTGCCCCCTCCACACTCTCCTACAGTGGTGTGGTTGGAGAAGGGCTACATGGAAATGGGTGTGCAGGACACAGCACACCGTGCTTGTCAGGCTAGAGTTTTCTGCTCTGTCTATTGGGAGACACATGTTCTTCCACTTGAGCACATTCCTTGCACCCGGACACTTGCCCCATTCAGCTAGTTCAAAACTGAGGGCATGGTCTTCTCTGTCTAGTTTACTTAACCCACCCAGGCCCTGGGTACTTTCACCTCACCTATCCTTTCCCCACACCTTCAGCTCCCACCACGTTCAGTCCATTCAACCCACTGCACTTAGTGTGATCTTTATAAATCCAGGGTGATCGCTTCAGGAACTTTTGAAGGCTTTGCCTAACCACCAGATAAAATCCCAACTCAGCCTAACACTCCGATCTCTAGCACAGAGATGAGAAATAACAAGGGAATTGACACACAAGCCTCAGGAAGTCAATGTGTCAGTTTCTCCCTAGATTTCTGCTCAGATTCCCCCTTGGAAAGGGACACTGGCCTGGACCACACAGCTTTTAAGTATCAAACAACCTACCCTGACCCCATATAAGAGGAATAGCATTCTCTGGCCCATGGAACACCCAGGAAACCTAGATCAAGGACAGACAAAAGAAAGGGTACACTATATAGAAGTTAGCTGCATTCCAGCTGAAAGGAAGCAGAATGAGCCAAAGGGCAGAGCAGCTAAGCCAAAGAAAGCACCCAACTCCTGTGGGAGGACTGTATATCTACTCTAAAGGGTTCATGCATGTTTTTTTTTTTTTCCTTTTTGTCTTTTTTCGTGTCCTGCAACGGATCGCAACCCTCAGTGTCGCGCCCGTACCGGACCGGGACCGGCAACGGGATTGCAACCCTCGGTGTTGCTCCCACACGTCGCTCAGCCAGTGAGCGGGAACCGGTCTGTATGTGGGATCCGAACCCTCGGCGGGAGCGCCACCACGCTCCCAAGCGGTGCACTGTAGCAGTGCGCCACCGGGCCGGCCCAGGGTTCATGCATGTTAACAGCTTGCATTTGTATGTATGAATAAAGGTCTTATGAATACACTGCGCCTCCACCCAGAGAGCACACAGCTGTCAGGATTTGGCCTTTGTGGTGACCAGTGGGGGCTCCATGTTTGGCCTGGGGAGCCACCTCGAAAACCAAGGCAGTTGGCCTAGCCCTAAGCTTTGAGGGTGGGACACTTGGCTGGTGCTCCCCACCTTTGCTCCGTTGCTGCCCCTGGAGCATGACGGAAGATGGCACAACCCAACAGAACCAAGGTGAGTGTGCACTGGGAACTGGGGTGGAGAGGGCAGAAGGCAGGCTCTGCCAATAGCCTTAGACTGCAAGGGCAGCAGCGCCCTTTCTGGGTGGGGCCCCTAAGGAGAGAGGTCTGAGTGTATGGGAACCCGGGTGTTAGAGCACAGCCAGCACCCCATTGCATGGCACTGGCTTTTGGATCGGTTGCACCAAGCACCGATGGGTAGCAAGGGAGTAGCTACTTCATTTTCTCCTTTCCTCGATCTCATGTTTCTCAGAAAGGGCTGAGCAGCAACCGTTTAAGTACACCAAGCACATTCTCCACACTGTTTCGCGGACAGGTTGCCACCTCTGTAGAGAAGTTTTCATCACTCCTTCATCACCTGTTCTTTCCCTGGCACTATGATGGATGCTAGGGAGGAAGAGCAGTTGCCACAGCAAAGGTTCCAGGAGGGAGGGGAGTGAGTACTCCACCACTTTTCCTGCCTTCCTGAGTTCCTCAGGAGGGTCAAAGATGGGGATATAGGGCTGAGGCCATCGCTCCAAAGATGGCGTTTAGTCTTCTTCTCTGGAACTTTCTGGTTCTCCTCTACTATCCTTTTAGGGATGTGTGATACCTTAGCTGAGCTCTCGTCTTGACCACTGCTAGCACGTAAGGTGGCCCCTTTAGGTGAATCAATTAGAAGAATGTCCCCTTCCTCTGGGCTGCATCCTTGTGCCAGGGCTGATGGTGTGCTGAGGGGAATGTACACTGCATTTCAGCACCCACTTCCCCTTTCAGCTGGGAGCCCTTGGACAATTTTCTGCCCTGGCCTTTTGGGGTCCGCACCATTCCACCATGATGCGGTATGAAAAGGTCTAGACAAGGAGTCTGACACTAGAGGGCGGTCGGGGATGGCTGGCTGCCTGGCCCCTCTGGGGCTTGTTGCCTGCCTAACACAGCTTCCACCCTCTAAAGGCATGTGGGGGGCCTGAAAGGCAATTATCAAGAACAGTGTTTCTAGAAACCCCTGTCACTACATAACACGTTCTTGGGGCTTGGCCACAATAGCCCTGAATGCTGGAATCCAGGCTGTGCCTTAACACAGAGGCCCGTTTACTTCTCAGCTGCTGTTCACGTGCTTATTCCCAATAGCACTTTGCTTTTAGAAGCATTGGGCTTGGAATCACACATTTCCCTCTTTGCATCTCGGCTTCTGGGCAATCAGCCTGCAGTCAAACTGGCAGGCAGAATTGCAAGCGTCATGAGAGTCTCCCTAGCAGCAGTGTGATGTAATACACAAAGACTAAGGGCTTTGCTGCGGCGCTGGGCAGAGACAGCTTGGAGCTGATGAGGGAGCAATAAAAATGTAGGTGTCCACGGTGCCTTGCAGTGTTCTATCTTCACATCCATGATCACATTTGAGTCCTGCCACTGGACAGTGCTAACACCTGGGCCTGAGCAAAAGCTAGGAGGCACAAACACACTGATACGCACATTCACACACTCAGTCACACTTGCACGTTGACGCACACAGTCACCCTCACACGTGTATTCACTCACACGACACACTCACAAATTCACTCACACACAGTCATGCTCCCACCAGCATGATTACATGTTCTCTCTTACTCACACTAACACACACATGTGAACATGCCTTCACATTCCACATACACATGGACACACTCACATATTTATTCATGCACAAACATGCTCACAGACACAGTCACACAAACTGAGGTGCACATGAAGACACATATTAACACACACAAACATGCTCACACATATGCAAAGGAGCATGCTCACATACCT